AGCAAAACAGGACTGATATAGGAAACGACAGATCAAAAATATATCAATCGATGTTAGAAAGCGATTCATTAAGAGTTTAATCTGGAGCATAGCATTGTACGGTTCGGAGACATGGACACTCCGAACAGCGGAGAAAAGAAAATTGGAGGCCTTTGCGATATAGTGCTGGCGAAGAATGATGCGAGTGTTGTGGACAGAGAGAAAGAGGAATGATGTTTTGGAAAAGACAACAGAGAAAAGACAGATTTTGAGAGCGATAGATAAAAAGAGAAATGACATGATTGGCCACCTAATTCGACACGAGGAATGGATGAATGTTTTATTGGAAGGAAAGATAGAAAGCAAAAGGGGGACGTGGAAGACAAAGAGTGAAATATCTCGACGAGTTATTGCGTAAAAGGCCTTACCAACAGATAAAACAGCTAACTAACCGAAGAGAGAAGCTATAAGACTGCACACATCTGTGAGGGCCGAACTGGACGAAATAAATTCTATTGAAAAAAGTTTTGAGAGAAAAATCATTGAAGAGATGATTAAAACTTTTGTCACGGATTTGGTTCCTTGCTTGAGGTGACACATCAAATGTGTCATCCGGAACCGATGATTGAAATTCAACAATTGGACAGTTGTGTTATGATTCCTAATGAAATCATGGGAAAAACCCACGAGAGACCCCCGAAAATAAAAAAAGATGGAGTTCGTCGTGACGACAGTTCGCCGTCATTGATAGTTCTTTAAACTGGTGTTCGCGCCCGATCCTGTTTCGGATACTGCTCAAGCCGTCGCCGATCCTCTGCCCTCTCAAGACGAACATCGACTTCCTCCCCTTCGAGTCACAGAATCTTCTTTCGAACCACCCGGCGAACCAGCAGCCAACGATCCGCCGATTCTGAGATTCCGAAAAGGGATCAGCTTCTACTAAGGTATTTATCAACGCACAAACGATTGTAAGCTCTCTCTCTCTATTTCGCAGTCAGAATCGTGATCGTAATAATAAGATTCTTATATATATGTCATATTATTAGCATCCGCTAAGCATCTGTAGATAGCTTGTAACTAGTCTGGATAAATAAACACGTATTGTTAATTGTTAACTTCGAAGTAGCGTGCACTTCTTCCGGTTGTCTCCTTCCGCCTCCATTCCGAGTCGGAACGCCTACGACGCAACCGCTCGCGCGCAACGAAATTAGCGGCCAACCCGGTTTTCTGTGTCTGTCCGTAAAGACAAGGTGGTGTCAGTCATGACAAGGTATCGAAGAGATACCGGTCAGACATCCATGTTTGCCTACCAACCATTGATTAAGGAGAGAAAGAGAGAACAAAATTATTCAGAAAAAAAAAACTAATTTAACTAATTTATATTTAAAAGAAATACGTACTTAAAATAAAAACTAGCAACATAAAGGACTTCATGATGCTTTTACTTGCTTTTGGAAACTTGGAAGATAATTCGTAATTTGCAACTTTCACTAGCACTGACGTGTCTTCAACTATTAGATCCACATATGTAAACTTGCAGCTGTGACGTCATATGGAAATGGAATGCGCGATGTTTGCATCTGTTTAACTTGAGCATTTTACACATATTTTCTAATGTTTTCTTTCTAAATTTTTATTTCTAAATTTTCAAATTTCAGACCTATACATCCCTACTGTCATTGATCTGTTTGACTGTCTTCCTGTCCTTCGTTAATCCGAAGAATGAAGTTAGATAGATAAAAATCGAGATCAGAAAAAATTAGGGACGGATGACCCGATTAATTACAAACGAACTTCCGGTCAAAATCGGAAGTCACGTGATTCTGCTTAAAGATTATCAACAATTGAAGTCCAGCTTAATTTCCAAGTAAAAGAAATTAAATTATAAATTGCGCTTTTATTTTTGGAACTCCGAAGACAAAGAGATTATCGTTAGAATCCTATTTAACTCTTCTGTTAACGTACGTTTTTGAATTTGAAAAATCAAATACGGTAATTTTGTAATTAGTAGATTTTAAATTCTGTTACATTTTTGCTTCTTAATAAGTGGAATAAAATCTCTAAATGTGACGCAGGGTCGGCACCACATCACGATGCCACGTCAGAATGACACCACTATATCGGAAACGACATAGAAATCGCGATAGCGTTCTCGCGCGAGCGGTCACGTATTAAGGGCGATTAAATCCGGATGGAAGCGACACGAGAGACAACTCGTTTCAAGGAAGTGCACCAAACACAATTTTAACAGTAACAAAATTTTGTTTATTTACGATAACTACCAAATTTTATACAAGTTAATATCTCGTATTTAATATTTCGGAAATTAGCTAGTCTGCGAGTTCGAAGTTAAAGAGAGAGCGTTTACATATAAATTATGTATATATACCTTACAATGCCGGATTGATGGAGTTCACTGTTAGATGAAAAGTGTTCACTTTAGCAGGAGTTCACTTTTTCAAGGAATTCACTTTGATGGAGGAAGATCACGGAGGAAGATCCCAGCGAAAGGCGACTCCAGCGAGGACGAACTTCTGGTGACGACGACCCCGATCGTCATCGTTCCCCACTTTTATTGGGGGTCTTTTTCGTGTTTCCTATTGACCTTTTTTGGAAATGTTATAGGTCGTGGCCAATAGATGAATTTCGGTAAAAGTTCCGGGTGACAAATTTGAAAAATGTGTCTCCTTCTAAAGGAAATAAATCCGGTGGAAAACGCAATCATATCCTTCCATCTTTTTACTAATTGTTGGGAAAAAAATATATATTTTTTTCTATAATTTTCTTTTGCGGTTAATATAAACTTTTAACGTTAATTTTCTTGGATTTATATAATCGTGTAAAAATTTATAGTCGAAAATAAAAGCGGGACTCTCACATAAATAAATATTCGTAGATGCAATTAAAATATTTATATATAATTTCTACTCGAATTTGTAGTTGGTAAAAGCTGCATATGTAAACCGCACATCAAACACTTTGTCGTAGGCGGCTTACATTTTGACACTTGAAAAGAATAACACTTGTGAATTGCAAATAACAAACCGTTTTCAAGCTAAACTATAGAGAATTTTTTCGTAAATATTAAATATTTTAGATGCTTTTATAATTAATTCACAATTCCGGGCTTAAATTTTTAATGATATTATAACTTAAAAATTAATTGTGGTCTTTATTTCTTAAGCTTTCCATATCTGGTCTCGATTTTCGTCTATATATGAATTCGTCTGGAGATTAATAAGGAAAATAAAATGTTTTTATAAATACAGTTATATTTGTTTTTTATTTCTATTTAAATTATTTTATTTTGCATATTTTGACTACACGTGGATGATGTAATCGTAACCAGCTTATATTTTGACGACAATAAAATAACACTTGTTAATTAGGAACAACATCAATATTCCACATGGCTAAAACAAATTTACTGTATTACAAATCTTAAATATTTTTAGTGTTAGCAATTAATCAACAATTTAATTTGTTGCCAATAAACATCCAAGAACAGCCATTATGTTGTCATCAGATGCCATGACCGACTGACTGACTGAGAAACAATGGCGTAGCGAACATAACTGGCGCCCTGGGCACGACACTATATTGGCAATTATTTATCATATAAAATATTATTTTATAATTCGTCGTAATTAACATATAAGCAAATTCTTAATAAAACACATTGTAATCATCAACATATAACTTGAGAATTGTTTTCTGATAAGGTAAATAATTCAAAAAAAGAATATGAGATTTAAAATCCTGATATTTAGTAATTTTTATTTAAAGAATTAAACAAGTAAGATTTAAAATCGAAGAAATAAATAAATTTTATAATTTGCAACTTCAACTTGTAACAGTCACTCAACATCCTATCAACTTGGAACATCAATTACAAGAGGATCGTTCTGGAAGAGTTTTCCTACGTTTTCTTTCTTCCATAAGAAGGAAGAAAGGAAAATATTCTAAATATAATAAATATAATAAAATAAAGGAATATTGGTATGAAAACTCACTGTAATTCAAGCAGCTACCCTATTTATGGATCTGGCCAAACTCATGATAAAAGCCCTCTTATGCCCACAAAAAGATATTAAAAAATAAAAATATGTCTTTTTTTTTCAAAACAGATTCTACTCCATGTTTTTTTTTATCTGTAAGTGTATATTAATGATTCCTGTTTTCATTTTAATTTGAACTTTAATAAATAGTTCAATAAATATTTATTTGAATATTTTAAACAAAATATTTCCATGATTCGTTTAAGTTTGGTGATTTTTAATATATTTAATATTTTTTAGAATTTCTATTTTAAATCAACAATTGGAAAAATATAATTATGATAAATTATTTTAAATTAATTTATATAAATATATTTCATAGAATATGCATCTTTCAACAATGTGCAAAAGAATATCCGTTTGAATTTTAATAAGAAAGGTATTAAGTGATGCTTCTTTATAAGGCATTTTAGCCGAATTATTTAGATTAATAATGAAATATAAATGACAAGAACTTATAATTAAGTAAAATTTAATCGAAATGATTTTGTATATGAATTAAATTAATTACATATAATGTCGACAAGAATGCTGAGGTGATAAAGGCGTCAGTCTGCTGCTCTGCGAAACAGCGATTGAATCCATGAAGAAAACTCCAGTAATTTTTTATGAGTAGTCTATCCTGGCTATATTAGATTTGGTTTTATTCATTTATTGCAACATGATATATGAGCGATCTGCTAAGGAGAAATGCCTGCCGAGAGGTATTTTATGAGAAATTGGCCCTTATTTAGGTGTCACTAACGTGAAGAAAACCCTGAAAACTCTACGTGGCCAGCCCGTTGGCCAGGCGCGAACCCATGACCAACTACCAGTGTGCAGTGGTTTTATCCATTAAGTCACTGGCACCAATGTGAAGTATGAAAAATTCATAACCGAATAAAAAAAATTTTCAACAAAATATATAAAAATTTGTTTCGCAATTAAATGAAATAAGCGAAAACAACCTACATTTGTGTTAAGTTCAATTGAATTTATATTTTATTATTGCTTCGTAAATTTACATCAAGCATGATGATTGATTAAGAAAAAATTTTACATGTTGAATTAACATTTTCTGTAAACTTTTTTATTAAATTTTCCAGATTGGTTGTGGTCTTTGAAATAAGACCAGATTCTAAGTTATTTAGAACAGATGTAATATTTAATTGTAGCAGGCTGTCAAATAATTCACAATTGGTAACTCCATTACGACCATTGGTATAAAGACTTATAATACATTGCTTTATTTCGTTTACAAAATTGCCAAGAACTGCTTCCGATAATGAACTTGTTCCGACTAAAACTGTTTTTACAGGACATTTAATCAAATTCACAGCATTTGCACTATTATTACTTAAACAAACTTTTTTATGAGGCACGTTACATCAACAAGACTTGAGAATTTAACGTTAAGAACATTATTAATGAATGTGTCACCTTCACACGTGAGTGATGGTATCATACTTGGATCCAGACATTTCAGTAACTGACTCGTTATATTCTGAAAATATCAACAAATGCAAAAAGTTAATAACAGATCTAGGACTATTTTAGAGAATTTGTTCGTATAATTTCTAGTTAAAGAAGAGAACTGAAAAACTAAATATTCCTTAGAATGAATGCTTATCAAACAAAATAGGTAATTGTATCGTCAAGAAAATTTATAAAAAATAAAGTTATTTAATTAATTAATTGTCAACTCGGTTAAGCACGAAAAAACATACACAGTATTTACATTTTTTAATCAATCTAAATTACATTCAACAATCCCAAAAAAAATTTATAATTTTAGTATCGTATATTGAAATTTATAGTGACTTTTCTGTAATATGCTTCTTGTCTAGTTTTGTGTTCAAATATACTAGCTCTATGGCGGATTTTGCTTTTTCGCTAGACTTATTACATCATGGTGTAATAAGTCTAACGAAAAAGGAAAAGCCGTCATAGAGCTAGTATATTTATAGTGACTTTTCTGAAATTCATCATAATTTTCAATATAATGAAGAATTCGTCTAGCCAAATTGTATAGCGATAGGACATAAAGACACTAAAAGTCATATAAATACTTATAATGATCATATATGTTATAATTTTTATAACTATTTATGTGATATTTAGAGTCTAAACGTCCTAGTTGTAGTAAAATAAGAATTAAAAAATATTTATATAACAACTGCACTGCACATTGAAGCAATATATATTATTATTTTCTTATTATAATATATACTATTATTGTATTATGTTAATTAACACTTTTTACTTACATGTAATGTTTTATCCAATTCATTTATGATCTTATCAATGAGATCAACGTCAATATTATCAGTGAGATCAACGACAATTTTATCAATGAAATCAATGCCAATTTTTCCTATCTCACTGAATTTTAGTGATGTTACACCTTAGAAAGAAATATAATTTAACGATAATTATTACCATTAAGAAAAGTTATGAGTAATATGTTTCTTTCTACTCGTTTAGAAACATCAGTTTTAGAATAAATTTAATTTTGAAACAAATATATTCAGAAATAACTAATTTTACTAATTTATAAAAAATAAAACTTAAATACTTAGAATAAAGAACATCAACAAGGAGCTCTTCATGGTGCTTCTACTCGCTATTGGAAAGTAAGAAGATAATGGTTAATTTGGAACTGCTACAATTACTGACATGTCTTCTATTATTCGACCAACGTCACGATTGCACTTATGCAATTTTGGAGCTGTGACGTCATAGAAAAACAAAATGTGAGAAATTTGCATCTGTTCATCCTACACACATTTTTGTAAGTTGTTTCCATATAAAATGGATTAAACTACGAATTGCTGTTAGAAAATTTAACCTGGGATGAAAGGCTTTTTAATATTTGGGCCATTATATTTCAAATAATTTATTCGATCCTTGCAATTATACATGTGTGTAAGAACGCCGATTGGGGGGAGATTTTATTCCCTACCGTCGGGATGGTCTAAGGTCTACGCGTAAGTGGGTGGCAGTTTTTTTAGGCAGCAAAGACAAGTGTTTTACAGAGGCAAACGGTTTATTCCGGACAATAATACATAAATTCTCTCGTTGGAAAGGTCCTGCGTTGTGGGAAATTTCGACGTCGATTCTGGTCTTGCGCCGTCGGGGTTTCGGCGGCGATCTGGTCCAGCGTCGTAGGGGCCCCTGGACAGTGTTGAGCAAAAAGTTCGAAGTCTCGAAAGTCGATGCACAAAGGTGAAAGGATGCACGAAAAAAAAAAAAAACGGAGATACACGAACACAACAGAAGTCTAGTGGAAGTCTTAGTGGAAGTCCCGTTGTCCTCGGAATTGGTGCTTTTATAAGTTTTTCGGGATCGGCTTTTTGCTTATTGGATAGACCTTACAACACCGTTTTCTAATTGGTCTTCCACCTGTCTTCAGGTGTAAATGGAGCTTCGTAAAGTTCGCGAGAAAGGTCGGCTGGAGATGGTTTATCCGACACTATCCTTTCGACTCTGATTGCGTTTAATTGTTGACTATGACACCTACGCTCATTTTGATATTTCTCTAGTTTCGTTTTACCTTCTAAACTGCCTCTTAACTGTAATATTTTAAATTTTCTTCTTTTATATCTAAAATTTTGTTTTTCCCGTTATTCTCTGAGCGTCGACAGCAAAGTCCGGTGTCACCGATTAGACACTTATATAATTTGCTTTCTTGACGATTTAACTTAACAAGATTTTTCATATCTTTTTTTGGGGGGGCTATTTCCGGAGCCTCCTCACACGTGAAACTTTTATCTGTGAAGTCATATGGAAATGGAAAGCCCGATATTTGCATCTGTTCAAGTTGAGCATTTTACTCNTTTATATAAATAATATAAAGTTAATAAAAATAAAGTTTATAAAAATAAAATAAAGTATATCATAAGAAGTAAGAATTGTCTTCTGTGTCAAACTGTTGTGACAAATCTAGTAAAAATTTGATAAGTGCCACTTACCTAAATGATAACGGACTCTACTAGATATGAAACAAACAACAATGGTTAATTATATTTGTGGATATGCAGAGAGAGGAGGGGAATTATTTAATCTCAAGTTAGGGATGACAAAGGGTGATTTTTGATATGCGGGTGGTGGAGATGGGAACAATGATCATTTAGCACCTTTATAAAACCGTTTATTAAGTTAAAAACGAAGGTTCTGCTTTCATAGGTGGGAGTTTCTTTACTTTAAAGTATCCACGAAGAGAAAATATCATGCTTTTTTTTAACGAACTCAATGACTCCTGGATGTGGGACAATGGGTATTTCAATATTTCAATATTTATAGGGGGATAGGAGGCATTAATCAGTGGTATATCCTGAAAGAGATGAAAAGAAGTGAGAAGGGTTAGTTGGAGGGAAAGTCTGTTGTGGCAGGGGCCGAAGGTGGGTGGAAAATGGGAGAGAAGTGAGAAGTGGAAGGGGAGGTCAAGAGCTGCACCAGGAACTTTATTTAAAACATAAACAGGTTACATATGGAAATAATATTTACAAAAGAAAACAAGAGAGGTACAGATTTTTAGGTCTGTACATAAAAACGCGACTATAAGTTCCTTAACACAAAAGTAGACATTGCCTGGCATAGTGCCATAAAATTTACAACATTGATGTCAAAATGGTTATTACCATGATTAGGTTTACATGAAATACTGCTTGGTGGATAGAGTTGTAACTCACCTACACACAAGTAGCTTTACGTTATACACATGTTAAGCGCATGTTGAACTAGATGAAGATGTTCTTACTCATTGTTGTGTTGCAGGTCCAGAGCCTTTGTTGACTGGACAAAGTTTATAAGTGACTTGAAGATCTTCTTATTTCTAACTAAGACGTTTTGGTCGCAAGGCCAGTTGTATCCCTCCTGTAACATTGTCCTCAGTAGATTCGTCCTATGTTGGGTGTATTGGTCACAGTTGAATATGAGATGCTGTGCGTCAATGGGTATGCGTCTATCTTCGTAATTTTGTTTAATTGGTGGTAGTCCACAACTAATCTATGACGTTGATCTTTCTTATGGACTATTAGCGCAGGTGCCGACCATGGGGGGCTGGACAGTTCAATTACCCACTTTTGATTATATTTTCCACTAACTCATCCATTATTTTTCTTTGAGCAAATGGAATTTGGTATGGGACACGACAGACCAGTGGAATGTTCCCATTGTCTATCTTGTGCTCTATCAAATTGCAATAGCCTAAATCAAAATCATCTATCATGAACACATGTTTATATTTATATAGTAGGTGTGACAATTAGGAGTTTCAGAATATTTTAAACCATTGTTGATCGAAATCTCTCAGACTTCTAAAAATATTTCTTTACACCACACAAATCTTATTTTACTAAATAATTCTTTTAATTTGAATTAATAAACATTAATAAGTTGTTTTTTATTTTTAAAAAATAATTTAACTTAAATCGGTGAGAGAAAAAAATTTAAACATCATATTAAAGTTTTTAGTTACAGAAGTTCATCTAAAAGTGAAAATTTTTTACATGGGGTTTTTCAGTGGCCCTAAGTTACGATTTTGTATAAGAATAATGATTTGCTGTCTATGGCAAATACTTTGAATTATTTAATCGTACTTCGAAAAATCGTAAATAATATAAATTTTTAATAAGAAATTTGCATACATTCTTACAAAATAACAATAAAACATAATTATCATAATTATAGAGCTAATTCCATGTTTAAATAATTAAAGTATTTACAATAAAAACAATATTTTTGTCGAAAATAAAATAAATCAAAATTTTTTGATATACTGTAGTCTACTTTAATAAAAACCTTTTAATAACTTGTTTCTTCTAATTCTATGTCACGACTTTGTGCATTTATCGACACTTGGCAAATAATTTCTTCATCCACTTTTAATTCATACAGATTTGAAATTATTTGCCAAGTGTCAATAAATGCACCAAGTCGTGACATAGAATTAGAAGAAACAAGAAGAAGAAGACACGTTTCGACAAATAAATAAAATTTAATAACTTTTTCGTTGGTTAAGAAAAAATCACTTGAAACACTTATGAAAAAATATAATATCTTTATAATGACAGAAACAAGCAACAAAACATGACACCACTCGAAAGTCACGTGAACACAACTTCCCTGTGTCAATCTTGGGCCATGTTCAGTAACGCAGAATTCTTGCTACATCTAGTTAAGCTGTGATGTTGAACTCGTTTCTTGCTACTGTTTGACTCCTCCCACCGCTAGAATTCTAGCTAGTTCAGTCAGCTTCTTTTATCTATACTAACTTCTACTAGTGACGTCATTGTTTTTGTCTTGCCGTACGATTTGCAAGATGGATGCTCGTGTTGGACTAAACATATTTTATTAATTTTATCATAATCTGACGCAGCTTTCATTTGAATAATTATATTGGTTGCTTCATCCTTTTTCGACCAATTTGTTTGCGACAATTGTTACAATCATAATTTTAACTTTGTCCACCATTTTGCCCAGTTGTTTAACTAAGAATAATCGTTCGGTGATAACTAAGAATAATCGTTTGTTAGAGAACATATATTAAATAAAGTTGTTTTAATACTTGTTAACTAACTAACATCCTGTCCTATAACATACATAAAGTCTTTGCACAACTCATCCTCACAATTACGTAATGCTTATTATATTCTAATTAAAGCTCTTAATTGTAGAAATAAAAACAATACATAGCTTGGAATAGCGAAGATTACTTTTATTAATTACATGTATAATGACTGCACAAAAGCAACGACATAAAATATGGTTTTCTATGCATTACTTCAGAAAAATTTAATCTTTCTGTTTTCCAAGAACTGAATTTGAACTCTCGGCAGAATTGCCCATGTATCGCGTTGTTGTATACAAATAAAACTAAATCAAACAGAAATTTTGCTTTTTCTCTCAACGTTTTCACACTCCATGATAAAAAATTCCAGCAACCAGTTGCATAACTTTTCCAGCTGTTATGAGATTTTGTTATAAAAACTTCTTATATTTTAAATTACTATAAAATGGCAAAAAGCTTAAGTTTTACAATAGAAATGAGTTATAAAAAGGTGTAAATATTTATAACTAATAAAATCTTCATTATGTCCTACATCTCTTGAGATATGACACATGACCTCATCTCACTCCCCACATTTTTGATTTTTGTCACCAAAATTTTTGAAAGATTTTACAGTTATTTCTATACATGGAGCAGTGATAGTATTAAATTTTCATAATTAAAGGTCATGATGTTAGGGAGATAAAGATTTTGTGGAATACTTCCAGTGAAGTTACACTTTATATAAATTTTACGTGCTGTTAACATTTACAATTTCTGTAAAAACTCTCTCTTACCCTCAAAATTAAGTGTTTTAATAATAATTAATAATATAAAAATACAGTATTTTTTAATAAAATTTGATAATAGATGGCATCACAAATTACTTTATAAAGTTTGAGTTTTTCTATTAAGGATGTGCAAGAGCCTTTTTTACTTTAAGAAACTAAACTTTAATTTTACTTAATATTTAAAGTTTAGTTATGCATTGTAAATAAAAATTAGTTTAAAATTCTAAATTTCAGAAAATTGTGTGCAATTTTTATGAAAATTTATAAAGTTTTCTTTAATTTCTATAAGTAGAAACTAAATTAAACACAGAAAGTTAAATTTA